ACTCACTAATGTAAAGCTAGAACAACGTGGTTAGTTGCCAGGGTGTTGCTATGTGGTTGTTATGGTGTCCTGATGTTTTTTTTTTAGTGTGTTACTATGCAATTTGGTGGTTTGTAAGTGTCACATATATTACGCTATCTAATAATCTGATACCTTGACTGTACCATGGTAGTGGTGTAGTATTTTTTTTAAAGATTTGTTTGCAGTAAGCATAAAGCGAGGGGTTTTTTTATCATTAGTGGTGTTTGCTTAAACAAGCATCACTATTATTATTGCTCATATGTACACTGTAAAAAAAATCTGTAAAATTTACGGTAAAAAAACAGCAGCTGTGGTTGCCAGAATTTTACAGTAAAAAATATGGTAGCAACATTTGTGACCCTGGTCTTGAGTGTCAATTTTTTAAAATTGAGATTTATACATAATCTGAAAGCAAGAGAATAGACTATTGCGAATAATTTAATACACATTCATGGAAAAAATTCAGTGATTCTGATAGTGTTTAGGCCAGCAGAGAAGGCCTTGCTGGCCCACCACTGATAACAATATATTCAGACAATTCAATAACTATATACACTCTGATATTGCAGATTTTATATTGCCATTTAGGGTGCAAAAAATCTAAATATTGAGAAAATTGCCTTTAAAGTTGTCCAAATAAAGTTCTTAGCTAAGCATATTACTAATCAAAAATTTGGTTTTGATATATTTACGGTAGGAAATTTTCTAAATATCTTCAAGGAACATGGTCTTTATTTAATATCCTAATGATTTTTGGCATAAAAGAAAAGTCGATAAATTTGACCCATACAATGTATCGTTGGCTATTGCTACAAATACACCTGTGCTACTTATGACTGGTTTTGTGGTCCAGGGTCACATTTTAGGTTTTACGGTTTTAAATTAAATTTACATTTAAATACCGTAATTTCATTAACTGATATAATGTTAATATACCAACCTATTGAAGTACTGAAATCTGTATTGTACCTTTGTAATACACCGATAACCACCTAAAGCAGGTGATGATAAGAAAGTCATATGATGAACCAAAGCCCATCACAAGCAGCTTTTAAATACTAACATATATAGGAGCACAGTGTCATTCACACAAACACTAAACATCATCATGGTAACACACACGGAACTGAAATAATGTAATAAACATTAATTTAACAACATTAGCTGTAACATACAACCCTACTGTACAAAACTGATAAGAAAAAACTAAGAAGAAACAGTTATTTCAACAACAAAAAAACCCCCATCAAATTTGAAATACAACGCAGGGAATTCTGGGAATGTCAATTTATGGTTATTCACTGCAAATTATAGGTTCTTTTTCACTTCTAAAAACGGTATACTACCGTAAAATTACAATGTAATGTCCTATACAGATTTACAAAATATCTTCATGGAACATGATCTTTATTTAATATCCTAATGATTTTTGGCATAAAAGAAAAATCGATAAATTTGACCCATACAATGTATCGTTGGCTATTGCTACAAATACACCTGTGCTACTTATGACTGGTTTTGTGCTCCAGGGTCACATTTTAGGTTTTACG